ACACACACACACACACACACACACACACACACACACACACACACACATATATTTTCTCATAGGAAACAAGTTAATAATTTAGTGCAAGTTGATAACTTAATTGGTTAATAATAGTAAAAGCATCCAGATTGGTTAATAATTAAATCAAACAGTGTTTTAATGTCATGTGCTGCAAAGAGCGGCAGGGGACACATTAAAGAGCCACTTGCGGTTCGCGAGGCCAGTCTGAGTATCACTGGAATAGCTCGTACCAATCCCGTGACAGGCGTGGGTATTGGGATCGAGTAAAACAATATCAGTTCAAGAACAGATGTGGAGCGGCAGAGGGACATTCCAGGTTGCTGTAGTTCTTAAGTCAAAGAATCAAATTTCACGGTGTAGCTGACATTACATGAGCCAGAAAATATCATTCTGGAGGAGGTGTTTTAGCAGTTGCGATGAGAGTTCTCTTCTATCATTCACTGATGCCATTTTATGATGTTGGGGTACTGCATGCTTGGGCCTCTCTGTTCACTGTGTTGTTTGGATTTCCCCAACAAATTAGATTTCCACTTCGGGAGCGCTCACTACAGACAAAAGCCAAAATTCTACTGTGTTCACCAAGGCCAGTATTGGGATGGTTTTGACCTTCCCTCTCGCATGTGCAACTGTTGTATTTGCTCTGGACGGAAGGCCAAAAAATTGGCAAGCTCTGGCTAAAGAGAACGGGCATGTTGAGTACAAGAGGTTCACATTCATAGGTCCGCATGTGATGTCACAGTGCACGAATTCTCAACATGATCTGACGTAGCTTTTCACTTGCCTGTAGATTGTCTGTGGGCAGGATCACAGTCTGTTCAGGACTGAGAGAGGCGAGGTTTACTCCTGTGGATGGGGAGCTGATGGACAAACAGGTAGGCCTTTCAGAAAAGTGGAAGCTGCTGTGCAGTAAATCTAAGCTTTTACTAGTACTTGTTGGAACAGTGTTTGCTCTGCTCAATTGACTGTAAGACAGAATGTCAGATATTTAATAGTGGCAGCAAGTAGAGATGAGGTACATTGCAACTCACCTGTGTTAGAACATGGTTTTGTCTTGCCAGCAAAACCTGTTTGAGAAAATTTCTATCTCCAGTGCATAGGTATGGGATTGCTGTGTAGTGCTTGAAACAGTCATAGCCATCCCATCTCAACGTATTGGTGAGCCTTGACATGAAACATGACATGCTTTTCTGTCCACACAGGCAAGATTAAAAATGTTATATGTACAGTATATAGACAATACTCTACACACTCGCTTCTTTTGTGAATGAGCCGAGCCTATTCCTTTTAATTTTTGTGGGGGGGTGAGGGCAGTGGAGCAGCTAGAGGGGAAGTTTGAATGTCCTCTGGCCTTGCTAAGTTTTAGGCCCTGTTTGACCTTAAGACTCCCCCCACACCCATGGTGAGACATGAGAAGTGGCAGTGGGGAAGGACTCTAGTTGGGGTGGGGTGGGTGGGAGTCTCCACCGGACCTCGATTTAAGTTGCTTACAGAGTCCTTCCCCTGTTTGTGGCACACAAGGGATTTTCCAAGCAAACAAAAAGGTCCTTTTTCCTCTCCTTTCCCTGAGAGGGGGAAAATCTGCCCCTCCTTTTGGTCACCCCCACTTTGTACCTGGTCCATGCAGTCTTGAGGGCATCAAGGTCTTCTATGCTGATCTGTCCCTGTAGCCAGCACTCTGAGTACAGGAACCTGCCCCCTGGTCACCACCCCTTCCTGTGGCAGGCTTTCCCAAGCTGCTTCCCTCCAGGCACCGCAAGCCTCACACGTGTCTGGTCAGTGCTGGCTGAGCCCAGAATTGCTCATTAGCCTCCTCTCCACTTGAGTGAGGCTGTGCCCCCTCACAGGGAGGGGTTACCTATCCAGCTCTCTATTGCCATTATGTACTGCTGCTGTCCTTGTTCCAGACTCTTCTCCTCCCTCCCGCCCCCCAAATCCCTCAACTTGCTGTTCTTGACTGAGACCTCCTTCCTGGCTGCTTTTGCTGTCCTAGGCAGGGAGCTGGGCCAAGGTCCTTCTCCTGGCGCTGGGGGCTTCTTCTGAGGCCTTCCTCTGAGTTGCTTCTGCTGCCCTCCTATTTGGCTGCATCATGCTGCCTATTGCTTCCTCTTACTGCTCTCCCCAGTTTGTGTCCCCACTCCCAGACTAGCTTTCCGTCTGGCCCCAGGCAGCCTGTCGTCATATCAACTATCCTCCAGTCCAGCCTGCCTCTTCACCTGGCCCCATCTACACTTGTGAAATATGTTGTGACCCACCTGTGCTTCTGAGGGGACAGGAAACGTAACTGGTTTTAGGGACCCCGTCTTAGCCTGGGTTTCGGCTGGGTTTGAAACAGCATTCGCTAACACATCTGTCTGCACAGGCAAGATAAAACCATGTTCTAACACGGGGGGGTCACAATATGTTTCACAGCCGTGTTTAAACATGGTTCTTTAGGTAGTGTGGATTGCGTCTTAGCCGCTTCTGCAGAGCAGGACCGGACGTCTGTTAAGTGGAAGTTGTCAGTTTGTTTGCATCTTTTCATTAGCGCGCACACACACACAGCATTAATCGCAAGTGGTGTGTGAACAAATTGTTCCACAGCAGGGGGATAGGTCCCCCGGGAGCCCTAGATGTGCTGGCATATGCATTAGCTCAGGAGCCTGCTGAGGTAAATGAGCGCAACGAAGCAGTGTGATGACTGGTCACATCAAGCCCCAGGAGTTGTCATGTTGAGTCATTTTAGTTTTGATCCAGGTCCTAGTCTCACTCCTGAGTTGTCCAGACCCATGCTCTCAAGAAGGCTCATTTACTTTTTTTTCTAGGCAATTGGTCTGTGAGATGTTGTGAGGAATGGTACTTCTGTGCAGTTAGTATTGTTTCAATGTGCTCAACCCACAGGACAGGCAAACAGGTCTCTCTCCCACTCCATATTGGCCTGTCTGGTTGATTCAGGAGGGGAGTTAATTGACTCTGGAGGGAAACCTGAGTGTTTGGTGACAGCAATGAAGGACCTTTAGGGGTGTAAAGTGGGGAGGGGAAGTGGTGGATGGGAGTATGCATGCTTTACATAATCCATTGTATTTCAGCCTCACTGTTTTTAACAGCCACCCCCAAAATACAGGGTGGCACGCATCAGTCTGAATTCCAAATGTGAGCAGAAAGATTCCTCTGCCTTACTTCAGAGCTGATAGTCACCAGTCAGTGGGTAGGAATTGGTTGGCTTTGTTGCAGATAGAGGAAGAACTGCTGCAACATACTTTGCTCGGGATAGTTGCATTAGCTGCAGCTGCTAGTTCCCAATGCATGTTTTTGGGTGATAGGCCTTGCCTTGGATCATTGGGTACCAAGGTAAGAAACTAACTTGTTTGCTCAACATGAAACAAGAGTGTGGGGCTGGTACTAGAATGATTCATAACAGCCCAGTCATAAGAAAAAGATCACTGGGGGGCTCACCACTGTTGACTTGAGATGGGTAAGAGGTGGTGGGCCTTTTTTTAAAAATAGCCCTGTTAGCACCAAAGCCTGGGAGATGTTGAGCACTTACAACTCCCATTGAAAATGCAGGTGCTTAGCAACTCTTCCATAGATTAAGGCTAGACGGGACTATTGTGATCATCTACCTCCTGCATAACACAGACCATAGGGCTTCCCTGAGTTAATTCCTGTTTAACCATCCTCTTAAGATCAAGCATTTTAGTGTAGCATTATCCTGCTCTGAAATACACTGGACTGAAACAGTAGAGCATCTCCTCTACAGAGACAGACAGTGGTACCAAACTGTTTGATCTTTGTAATATACACGGTGGGTTCTTGAGTAATGCCACCAAACTGCTAGAACACAGGATTTGAGCTGGGGTCTCCACAGAGGGTGTGCTAGGGACTCATCACTCAGATCCTTGCTTTAGCCTTGAGATAACACCTCTCTAGAAGCAGGTGCACTTTTTTTCTCTTTTTTGATGTTGCTTCAAAAGTTCCAGTCTTTGGATGACTTGTGTTGACTGGCACCATAAGGTACATGGTGTCTGCCTTATTTCTAATATGAACAAGTACAGCATTTCATTACAGCATGTCTCTCTCCTTGTCAGGTCTTGGCCATTACAATATCACCAGTGTGCCCACCAAATTAGGCGGCGATATTGCTGGAGTAAATCTCGTACACGTTGCCACCTATGGGGACAGCTGTCTGGCTGTATCTGATGAAGGAGACCTCTTTGGGTGGGGAAACTCTGAATACATGCAGCTGGCTTCCATCACAGAGACGACACAGGTTAGGTCAGATGTTCCAATGTTCACTTTAAAATGATTTTCTATCTGCAACTCACCTGCTAGCCCTTGGGCACTATGTAAATAATAGTGGGGCATCTACATGCTTCACTGTAACTGTTCTGTACATGAAGCTCCAGGTGCATTTGACAACACAGTCACTGTAAAGTGACACAACTAGCAGTGTATCTTCACCCACAATGACTAAGTCCTACCAGCCAGGAATAATGGTATTGCTTGTATTAGTGTTTTGCCCTGAAAGCCCATACTTTAGGGCTGTTTCAGGCCTGTCCTGGAGAAGGCCCTGCCAGCTTGTAAACCAAGGGTGCTCTGACTGGAGTGCCTCTTCTGTTTGTAAATTCCTAAGTCTGTCAAATGAGTTAAGTCTCACTGGCCTTGAGTTTTCTGCTGTTGCTTTGTCCCCGAGGGAGAGTTGATTTAAAACTGCCTCCAACTGGAAGGCTGTACGTTGGGAATTTCAACAAGAGTCCGGCACCTAATTCCCTCAGGCAACTCTGAAACTCCCAGTCACAAAGGGTAGAGACACAGCCCAGGTAACTGCATTGCCTAGCGGGGGCATGTTATAGGACAACATATGAGAGTGTGGCTGTGTGGGCCCAACTTCATTGGCTATATTTTGGATGTACACTGGGGTGACTGAGAGCAGTCTCTGGCCTAATGGAGTTGCCTTGGCAAGAAGCAGAATTCCGGGACTCGCTTTATTTTTGCCACTGAATCACTGCATGACCTTTGACAAGTCACTTGTGTCTGCTGCAGCCCCCTTCTCTCCATACGTACGACAAGGATGAGAATCAGTCTCTTGGGGATTGGATCAGTTCTTGTAAAACACTTTGAAATCTGCAGATAGAGAAGTTCTAAGTGTTCAACTGACACGTTTTTTTTTCTTTCTGTTTTATACTTGAGTTAGTCTGATGTCAGGGCTGATGGTTTCCTAGATGAGCTTAGACCCATAGCATGCGTAGACGCCTTGTGATTAAATATACTTGAACATTTTAAAATATAGCTGCCAAAACCCATTAAGCATAAAATAAATTAAGCCATGTTTTTATATATAACACTGACGTCCTTTCCAACATCCCATCATTAATTTTAAGGCAGGAAATAATAGTGTCAGTCAACTTCTAATTCAGTACAAAGTCATCTCTTAAAATAGCCACATCTGATAACGTCATAGCTTAATTTTGACACTGGCTTGCTGAAATCCCCACAGAAGATGAATTGGCACTTACTGCCTGCCATAGAGTGGGGAATTCTCCTCTGTCAGATTATAAACAATCGCTGCAGGGTGACAGAAGCTCACAAACAAAGATTTTTCATTATACCATGACTCAGTGGGCCATAAAGGCTCAGGGTGAATGTTTTATAAATCTCTTTTAAATGGGGTAGGCAATCTGTAGTGTGGACCGTCATGCTGTTAATCTGTAGTTTTAGAAAAATATTACTTGTGCAAATAATGCATCCCTTTAATTAGTCTTTTTATTAAGGTTTGAGTCTACAGCAGGGACCTGAGGCTGAGTGAATACTGCAAAAAAACAGAAAAGTCCAGACATTCAATTGCTTTTTAAAATTTAACTTGCTTCTGTCATCTTTGCTCCTCGTGGACATTGGCTTTCTGCTGATGGCTGTTACAGAGAAGAAGGTTTGCAAAAAGCTCAGCCTCAAAGTCACGTGGGAGATGTGTATTTTTGGCATCCAGTCAGGAAACAGAAATACTAGGTCACTTCGGAGGCAGCGTAACCTAGCGCACAGAGCACTGGACCGGGACTCAGGATACTTGAGTTCTTTTCCTGGCTCTGCTGCTTGCCTGCTGGATGACTGGGCAAGGCATGTCCCGCCTCAGTTTCCCCATCAGTAAAATGGGATGACACTGACTTCCTTTGAGACCTGTTGATGAAGAGTACTTTATTATATTGTGACCAAATACTTAGAACTGTTCATTTTTTTTTTAATTCATCCATTTCAAATTTATTTGTAATCTGCTTTCAAATACATGAGCAAAAAGTAATCTGACAAATTTGGCCTTGCTCAAATTTATGGGATACAAGGTGTGTGCTGTAAATTTGAGAGTACCAGAAGCATATGCATAGCATCCATTCCTCCCTACTGGCTCTAACACAGACTTCTACAAAAATCCCCCAGGGTCATTGAGCAAATGTTTATGGTAAATAGATTTGAAATGCTGACTCAACCTTGAATGTGGCACTGTGGTAATTAAGCAGCTGTTTGCCTCGTTCAGCTCAGTGGAGAGGTCGTATTCTAATAGTTCATTAATATTCAGCTATATTGGAACGAAAATTAAGAGCAGATCATCAAATTACAGCCATTTTAGCAAACTTTTAGTTTAGTTCCCTTTGCTAATCCTGATGTGTCCCCAGTTTAGGGCTAATTATCTAGTTTGAGATAATTAGGAGGTTAAATAGCGTGGGGTCAGACTGTTCCAATATGAGGCTTCCTGGAGAGGATACTGAGAGTGATTGGAAATGGGGTTAGATTGCTTGGTCACCAAAGATGTGGCCTTCGAGCCAAGTCTGGGTAATGACTATTCTGGAAAAGGAAATGCTCAACTATCTAACATTCAGCATTTACACCCACTAAACGATAGGTTTTCCAATGTCTTATAAACTCTGTCACAAAAGAGCTACAGGCTATGGCCTTCTGGTCTCTCTGGTGATTGTTTGCAAACACACCTGTTGAGTGGCTAGCTTCTGTGTCATATCTAGTTCTTCAGCTCTGGGATGACTGGATTCCTTTAGGTATGCACCCCTTAAAAGTTTTGTAGTTCAAGATGGATTATTTCAGCTTTGCCACTTTCCGCAATCAGTTGTCTTCTCCTTCGGCCTCATTCAACTGAACATAGTTCATTTTCCAGCTGTGAGATCACATACACCATGACCTCAGTCCAGCAGACGGAGGACGCATCCATAGTTTATGTAACCACCTGCACAATCCTGTAGATACAGGGGAGAAAGGTGACTTGTACAACAATAGACATTCTGTATACCTTGTTTACATTCTCTTTGCCCTAAGAGAAACTTCCAAAAACACCAGGGTATGTCCAGGTTCTCATTGCTGGTGTTTGCATTCTCTGAGGTCAGAATGGTTTGTTTTTTCTCAATAGGTGAATGTTCCAAGGCACTTACCATTCAAGATTGGGAAGATAAAGGATGCTGCATGTGGAGGGACAGGCAATGCTGTTGTAAATGGTGAGTTCATTTTTGCTGTTGCAGGGCTCCTGTTGGATTTAATAAGGTGGGAGAGGAGACAGACGGTTACACTATTGCGACGCCTTTTACAGTTGTCTGACGTGATTGACATTCAGACTTTTTACAGGCTGTTATTTTAAGAGGGCTTGACTAGGGTGTTTGGAATGAAATATTTAGCCTTAGAAGAAGTTCCTGAAGGTCAGAGCTGAGGCATGTTGGCACAAGGAGCATACACTGCTTTTGCCTTTGCTGTGTCTGTATGATTTAATTCTCCCACACTGTCCATCTGGCAGCTTTCACAAGTACTGAACTTGAAGAATTCTTTTTGAAGTCTCGCACCAGAAAGAGAACTGGCTACTGCAGGGCATAGTCACAAATCGAAGAGGGTAGGAATGCTGGGACATAGAAGTGTCTCTGTGTGTTATACCTTAGGCACTGCGGGCCTGTTCTATCTCAGAGACAAACTGAAAACACTCTGTTTTAATAATGCGGAGGCAGAACTACATTTGGGAAACATGATCCAAGGCAAATTGGCTTTGACGGCAAAGTTAGAGAGAATTCAAATGCAGGAAGGAGCCAAATGGAAACACATTGTGGTTTTTTTTTTTAAATAGTCAGAATGACTTGCCAAGCCCAAAGAAAAAGAAAATAGCCATTTGGGTCTAATTAGGTTTCTGAGGCTGTATTAATTTCATAAGAGTGAATGTACTCACCGCATTTGTTTTTATTGTAACGCAGAAGAAGGAAATGTCTTTGTCTGGGGATATGGAATTCTTGGGAAAGGACCAAACCTGATGGAAACAGCAACTCCAGAAATGATCCCACCCACCCTCTTTGGCTTGTCAGACTTCAGTCCGGACACCCGCGTTTCTCGCATTCGTTGCGGACTCAGCCAGTTTGCTGCACTTAACAGTAAGTTTCCAGGCCATGGATCAGTGGTGAAATTGTCTCTTCAATTTGTTCCCCTTTTAAAATCTTACTGAGATGTTTCAGTTTCTAAAACACACTCCTTAAATGTGAAATGTGAACCTCCAAAACACCATGCTGAAACAATGCAATGGGTTTGATCACGTTTTCAGTCAGCCCATCTCAATGACAAATGGCAGCCTGGCCTCTATAGACACTGCTGCGAGAAATTCCTGATCTGTGTTCAGTAAAACAGATCTGTGCCCCTTTCCTTTGCTTTCTAAATTGCAGCCAGACCAGATTTACTTAAGGTACGGACCACAGCAAATATATGCAAGTTGAACTAACTAACCTAGTGTCTGAAGCAGAAAAACCATAGCATTACCGTGCAAATAGTGACATGACAATCTTAGCAGCACCGGTAGTGCAGCTGTAACTATAATAAATCGAGCTTGTATGTGAAGAAAATACTGTAGCCTGAAAATGAAGAGTTGTTAAAGGTCAGTGAAAATGCCCAGCACCACGGAAGCTGATGTAGCTACTCTATCTCAAGAGTAAAAGCTTCCGTCAATGATAGGTAAAATAACTCGATATTAGGCTGAATTTTGGAGTTGAGCTGTAGCCAAATGGGAAGGATTAGAGAAAATTTACACCATCTCCTTCAAGTGACTTTCCATAACGCTGGGGGCACATTGACCCAAGAAAAGGAGAGTGCATGTCATTGCACCAAGGTGTTTAACCTTTTCAAAAGCACCTAAGCCACTTCTGAAAATGGGATTTAGGCTCCTAAGTGCTTGTCTATGTGCACAGGCTGTACAGTTCTTGCTGCCACTATAGTTAAAGTGGTGTAGGGTGCTTTACACAGGTGTTTTCAGTCTCATACGGGAATAGCCATATACCAGTAGAACTGTGTCCACACAGGGGGTTCTTCCTCTAACTATTTCAGTTTAAAAAAAAAAAAATCACACCCCTGCTGAAATAGTTAGGCCTTCTTTACCCAGAGTTCTTTCACTGGTATAAATAATTTTTGGAATTGGGACTCGGGTAACATTTTCAAGAGCACCTACAGTGACTGAGAAGCCTAAGACCTCTCCAAATGTACTGAATGCAGTTTTGCTCTGCCCTTCTTGGAAGCCACCACTCTTAAGGAACAGATTTATCAGACTTGGAGGGGTGGCTTTATGCTGGATTGCACTAGCTTTGCTTACGGGGCTCACGCTCCGATGCATAAAGTTAAACATCTTGAAGGTCACATCACTGCCCTCTGTCGTCGCAGCTCCTGCTTTGACTCTTAAGAGCTGTGCACACAGACTGAGGATGTTGAAAATGAGCACCTGGCGCTTCCATTAATTTCAGAAATCTCTGGTGGACTCTGCCAGGCTGTTCCTTTAAACAAAATCCTGCACTTAGAGCTGTTGAGTGGGTGGAGGAGAAAAGATTCAGACCAAAAACTTCTTGTTTGCCTCTGTTCCCTGAGCTCTTCTGTGAAGATGATATTGCTCTATCAAGTGTTCTCTTAACTAAACGTACAGGACCTATGGGTTTTTTATCCTGGATTTATAACTCTTTGGTTATGGCCTTCTAGTCAATACCTCCATAAGTATCACATCTGCAGTCCCTTTCTTCATAAATAAAATTACTTACTTCATAGGTGAAGACCTTTTTAAAGGCAATCTGACCCAGGTTTTTTGCTTGTTGCAGACAGAGGAGAGCTGTTTGTGTGGGGCAAGAATATAAGGGGGTGCTTGGGGATTGGAAGAATGGAAGACCAGTATTTCCCATGGAGGGTAAGTACACAGCATTCAAGCACAACCATGCCCTAGAGTTAAACATGCTCAGTAGTTAGTGTACTGTAACAAGGGGGAGTGAGGCCTCACCCACTCGGTGCCTAGTTGTGGATTTTGGCACTGAAAGTAACATGAAAACTTCAAATGCAAGATGGATCTTTTCATCCCTTCTGGTCAGGAAGTCTGAGAAGGAATTGATGTCAGGTCAGAGCTATATGTTGTCTCCAGTTGTTCTGGCATTTTATAATTAGTCTGTACTGTAGCAGGAGGCCTGAGAGATTTGGGCTCTAGTTAAGTGTTCTATATAGCAAGTGCTAGAGCCCAAGCCCTGTCCAGCAGAGATGGCCAAGATTATGTCAAACATGGTATGAAAGTTCATTTAAATTAAAGAAAAAATCCCCCTACTCTATGTTCATGGAGCATAGAGTTTGAAAGCATCTACACCTTTCAGACAAGATAGGCACCCTCTGAAACGCAGGCTCCTTTAAGGTAACTCGAGAGAGGCTTCTGTAGCAAAGCTCACTCAGGCACATGGCACAACTGTCTAACCACTGACTTTGCATTCTCAACTGTCATGTCACATGCACATAGTTTTTGGCACATAAAATTATCCTTTTAAAAAATATTAAAGCAGGGACCATTTTGTGCAGAAGTGCAGTTTAAATAAGTGAGGAAGAAGTATTAACAACTTTGATAGTTAAGATTTGCTACAAAATTATTCTATGGTAATTAAATCTCTACAATAATTAATTTAGTGAATTAAAAGGCACAGATGCCAAGTGCATAAATTCTAACTATCCCATTTCTCCCTGGACATAGCTGCTAGGAAAGTAGAGGGCAGTCGTGTGTCCATTAAAAATGGTCAGGAATAGGGTGCAATGCATCTTACTGTTTGTCTAAAAGGGGAGCAGTATGAGCTCCCCTATATAGTGTAGAGGATCTGTTAGCTACTATCCCCTGTTAGAAGGCTAAATATTGCTGTAATTATGCTAGGTGGGGGAAAAGGCAATCAGCCCTTAGCAGCTATTTCATTCCTCATTGAGGACTGCACATTTGAAAGTCTAGTGTTAGTGCTTGGGGTGTGCTATAGACTGCTGGGATCTATCTTGGGGGAGGCTCTAGTAGTTCTTTTATGCAGTGTAATTATTGCCCATACAGACTCCGTCTTATCCATTCCATGACTTATTGTTTCTTTACATTGTAGCTCATTATTGACATATAATGCCACTCCCCCACCTTTGCCTTTTTTCTGGTCATTCCTAAACAGCACATACCCTTCCATACCTGTACTCCAGTCATGACTACCGTTGCACCACGTTTTGGTTATTCCTATGATATCAGGTTTCATTTTGTGGACCAGGAGCTCCAATTCCTCCATTTTGTTGCCTAGGCTTCTCGCATTGGTGTATAAACATCTTACCGTATGCTGTCTATCCTTTGTCCCATTAGTTATGCAAATTGGTACGGACCTCATGCTGTCCATCCGCCCCCTCTTTGTTATGTCCAATTCCCTACCCCCACCTATGTCTGTGCTTATCTCCTCACACTCCTTTTCAGTGTTGGACTCAGGTGTGGGGATTAACTGAACATCTCCCAACCGTCTCCCCCAAGTTCCTAGTTTAAAGCCCTTTTGATGAGATGAGCCAGCCTCCCTCCCAGAAGTCTATTTCCTTCCCTACTCAGGTGAAGTCCATCCCGCGTGAACAGCTGTCAGTCCCCGAAAGCCTCCCAGTGGCCATACATCCCAAAGCCCTCCTTATAGCACCACTCCCTTAGCCAGCTATTTATCCTCACAATTCCGTCAGCCCTTTGCTGTCCTTCTCTAGGAACAGGCAGAATCCCACTGAAGATAATCTGAGCCTCCACTTCCTTAAGCGTCTTCCCCAGCCTGGCATAATCTCCCTTAATTCTCTCTAGCGAGAACCTAGCCGTGTCGTTTGTTCCTACGTGAAGGATGATCAAGGGGTTGTTACCCGCTACTTTTAGGATCCTTTTCAACCGCAGGTCCACATCCCTTATCTTAGCGCCCGGCAGACAGCACACCCTTCTGTTTTCAGGGTCCGCTCTGGTCACAGGCCTGTCCAACCTCCTCAGCAAGGAGTCTCCAATCACAGAAACCTGCCTTTGCCTGGTGACAGTGCTCTCAACAAATCTATCCCCTGTTCCCTGTAGTTGTACCTCCTGTGTCTCTCTATTGTCCCTTATAGTCCCCCTAGTGCCATCCTCTATCCTATTGGGGCCCGGTATTGGTGCTGTCTCCATCAACTCCTGCTGTCTCTCTATCGGACTAGCCGCTCTTCTCTTCTTCCTCTGCCTCCCACCATCGGTTACCACCTGCTGCCTCCCCTCCTCGTTATCCAAACACTCAAACCTGTTCCTGAGTTCTATTTCCTCCTCACTAGCCCTCGTTTTCCTTGGCCTGCTCCTCAGTCACATGCTTCCACTGATCTTGATCTGCCCCTGACCTTCCCCCCTCACAGACCATAGCCTGTGCTTCCACCTGCGCCCCTGAGCATTCCCCTTCTGCCACACCCTGCTTCTGCTCCATTAGCTGCTTGAATCCCCTTTTACACTCTACCAGGGTATCTACCTGCATCTGCAACCTGTGGATCTTTTCTTCTAGCAGGTCGATGAGGCAGCATTTCATACAGACAAACCTTTGTTCAGGTGCTCCTGCTAGAACCATGTATATACTGCAGCTGCCACATGCACTCATCTGCATTGTGTCCCCTGCTGCTTGGCTCATGGCTGTTGTGGTCTCTGCCCACAGCTTCTGGGGAAACAAACCACAGCAGACACTGCACCCTCCAGCCTCCCCTTCCAGCTCCCCCTGTAAACTCCCACTTAAACTCCCCTGTTAGCAGCCCTGTTTGCGGCTCCTGGTGCCGCTGCTCGCTGCTGTGCCGCTGCTTGGCTGGGAGGCCTCTTTCATAGGCCCCCTAATCAGCCAAGCTCCACCCCCTAATCAGGGCTCCAGGCTCAGCAGCCCTCCCAGCACACTGCCCCTCCAAAGTGCTGCTTTCAGAACAGATGGGCTGGGGCTACAATCCCCAACAAACCAGGTCTGATGTAGAGCTTTCCGCTCGCTCCATAAATGCATTATGTACTTCCATGGAAAACTACTCAAGGCTGTGCTTTACAGCATGTTGATGAATTCCTTAGGGTTGGCTTTTTCTGTGCCTGCGGTTGGAGCTGACATTTCTTTAATCTAATCTCAATTCCCCAGACTGAATCCCATCCCCAAGTTGTTCTATAGGCTTGCGCTTTAAAAGCCACTCAGCCTGGCTGCTATGGGTGCATGCACACATGTGGCTGAAAAAGCCTGAAAGCTAATTTTCTTTGTTTCCTGTTTCAGGTGACAATCCCAGGCGAGGTACTTGATGTGGCTTGTGGAGTTGATCATATGGTAACTCTGGTTAAATCATTTATCTAGCAGCCATGCCATACCTCAGCTATGCATGGGGAATGGCTGGTAAAAGATGAACCCACGATCACTCTTTCATTAAGGAGAACCCTTTGTGCTCATGTTCAGTAGTATAATACTGAGCGTGTGAAGAACTTCTGCGATGCTTGGAACCTTGTTAACTGTTTCTTCATGTCCAGAGCCTGCAGTTACTCTTTGGGAGAGAGCCTTGCATTCCTCCCCTAGGGATGGTGAAGAGATGAGCAGACCAAACATTTTTAATTAGCTGCTCAGAATGCTCCAACCGCCCTGCTGCCAAGCCCCCAGGCAGCAATGCTCTGCTAATGTGTAAGGATTAAGACAAGAAGGGGAGCTGTTTTATGTCCATTTTACTATGTTCCTCCATGAGGAAATTGCAGTACCTAGTATTAAGTGCACTTACTCGTACAGATGGTAGTAGAGCTGTAAACGGGTATGCATCACTGCTGTCACTTTCAGGGGGTGATGGCCTTAGCCAACCATGTTTCCTAAAGGAAAAGTTATCTCATGGGATGAAATAAAGACATGTTGATTAATACAGCCTGGCAGAACTATTCTTCACCATCTGATACCAGTCATGCACTGTTTGACCCATGTTCTTGTGCGTTACACTGGAAGCAGAGCTGCACTATGTTGTGTTTCACTCACCTGTGAGTGGATGAAGGGTTCCTTCCTCCAGAGAGTTAGCTCTCCACCATGGGACTTTACGTTCCTTCAGTGCCACCGATAGATCAGAGTGAGAGCTCCAGTGTGGGAAGGAAGTGAAAAGGAAAGGAGCAGTGATCTACATTAATTTATACCTTTAAGTATGTCTATACTACAGTAGCACAGGTACAACACTTTGGGTTTCTGGATGAGTGTAATTGTCTATAAGGTTCTAACCTCTCCCACTCACCTCACTGCATGCTGCCTTTTGCCCCAGCCCCCAACATGCATCTCCATGCACAACTGCTGAGAGTGGTGCCAACTATGCATGGCCTCTACCCTCCTTCCTCTTGGAAAATCTAGTTAGGTTCCTAACTTGAGGCTCCTGTTTTTGAAAATCTAGGTCCCGACAGAGAGGATGGCAGGGGAGTCATAACTGTAGTGGAATAGGGTGGATTTGGGAAGCCTGGCAGAAGTATCTTTGCAAAAGTCCAGGCATGAGGGAATGAACCCATGGCCAGGACTTGGGGGTAGCAAAGACACAACCTTTGTACCTCTGGCCATGCTAGAGCCCAGAATACAACAGGCACACCAGACCCAGAGGGAGAGAGGTAGCAGCGCGTGACATCACCTGACTTCTTCCAAGATGTGCTGTGAGCACAGTAGTCCCTTCGCTCCTGTCTCTACCCTACACACAATGTATCCTTTCAGGTAATTGCCCAGTGAACAATCATGCTCCTACAACCATGCATCTATCCATCCAGCTGTTGCCCACATCTAAGCTGCTCTTTCCAGCTCCAGTTTTTATAGGGATGCTGACTGCTCATGTGTTTTGATGTCATTCAACCCTGTCAGCATGGACTCCACATACTTAGAGGTGCCTGCTAGTGTCCAGCATACCCCAAGCTTCCCTCTTTGTACATCACCTGTCTGTGCAGGCAGCGAGGCTGAGTGAGGATTGTGTGGAACTCCCAACTGCTGCACCTTTGAAGCCCTGCGCCGCAATTGTCTAGCCAACAGCAGCAGCCTCTCAGTTCTTTGCAGGTAAACAGAGACCAGCAGCAAGGCAGAAATAGCTAATATTTCATAAAGCCCCTCCAAGGGGGATACTCACCACATTTTAGTCCTTCGGTGGCAGCCAACCAAAGGTGGCACAGTTTGGAAACATGAAGAACAACAGATGCTGCCATCTCCAACCGGGGTGAAAATCCTAGAGGGGAACAAGATGATATTGCAGGAATAGGTTTGCGACAGACAAGAACCAGAACTCTCTATTAGTAGTAGAAGATAACTTACTTATAGTCTTTAAGATCAGAAGGGGCCATCAAGACACTATTGTAACATTATAACAATAATAGTAGTATATCCTAGTACTGAGGAGCCACAGTCATGAATCAGGATCCCATTGTGCTATGCATTGTACAAATACAGAGCAAAAAGACACTGCCTGCCCAAAGGAGTTACAGTCTAAGTATAAGACAAGAGAAGGAGACAGACTGACAGACAAGGTAACAATGAAACCGTATTGGGCAGCATGATAGGAGGGGGTCTCAGCGCACAGCTGACATAATGGGAAAAATCTAACTCTAAAGACTCCAGGCACCATAGAGAGCTTTCAGAAAGAACTGTTAAGTCTACTGCTATATTTAATTAACATTTCCTCTCACCTTGGTAGGAAAACATGGCTTTACCATTCTTGAATGGTAATGAAGCATCAGGCAATCACGACATTTTCATCTGGGAGTTGAAAGGAGCTTAAATTAATTAGGTGCTCAGCTCCCATTGCAACTCAATGGGAGTTTTAATAAATTCCCATAGGTCCTTTCATACTAGACTACAGCAGTGTATTCCCCTGCTGGTGTGCTGGGACAAACACAATCTGGTAGGGTCCCATTATCCTGTTTATAATCCACAACAAAACTTTGCCTCCTACGCATGTGGAGTTATTCATCTTCTTTAATGATCCTTTAGAACGATGAAAGGTTTTGGAAACTTCAGGTAAATGACTCTATATTTATTCTTTCCGGTTAACTTTTTAAAAAATGCTCTCACAAGTGTCGAGAGGCACAGGTTTTCCATGCGGAAGGCTGCGCTGCTTTGATCCAGTGGAGCTGTACAGATCCAGGGACTGTATTGTTAATCCATCAGTGCTATTGCATGAAAAAGGAAAAGCAAGAGGATGGCTATTTTTCAGTATAATCTTTTATATAGAGGGGAGCCTTTGGGGCAGGAACAGTGTGTGTTTATACAGCATCTAGGTGGTCCATGACTGGGACTCCTAAACACAATGGTAATACAAATAAATAAACATTTATAAAACAATAATATAGGATGGTTCAAATTTTCAAAAGAGACTAAGCTCCACTGAAAGTCAATGGGTTTTAGGCTTCTAGGTCACTTAAGTAAGTGCTTTTGAAAACTTTACCCAGTGTGTCCACACTTGTATTAATGTGTTAAAACATGACTGAAAATTCAAGTGTAGAGACACATGTTTATTGCTAGTCATAGCAAACACTGGGCTGTTAGTTACCCTAATTCAAACAAGCTACACTCCTAAAATCCACAGTATTTTCAATAGGATTTGCTATCCACTTACTGTCCTAAACTGTACCTAGCATTAAGCTGCAGTCTGTGGTTAAACACAACACAACAAGCAACAAATGTTTTCATCCTGGCACTAACTAGAATTCACACTTGTGTTAATTAAGCACTACTGAAAATTCAAACACAGACAAATCCTTACAGCTTCTCCCATCAACAATCCAGCGATCACCCCACCGCACGATCTGAAATACCTCAGTTATTTCCTTTTCTAAATCTAGGGATCCCAGATACCCCTCCATAGTAACTGGCGGCAGGGGCTTGCTTTTGTTCCCTGTACAGTCATAGATAGCTGTATTCAGGCTGAAGAGTGTCACTGCACTTTGCAAACTCTGGGAGGGTCATTTCCTTCACTGCTGAAATGCAGCTTGCTCTGGGTTCAAACAGGCAACTCTTAACAGTGTGCAGCAACTGTACACAACACGTCAGGACAGGAAGCATGCAGAATAATAAAGGGGAATTTAGGAAGGCAATGTTAACATTTAGGCAGGATGAGCAAGCTTTCCTTTTTGGATCTTTCTTTAATGAGCACAAGTGGCCCAGAACTTATCTTAAGCCTTAACAAGATCTTTTCATTAAGGGTCTCTCTATAACCTGGATTTTAAAATCTCTCTCTCGCCCACTAGCTGGTTGTAACCCTAACAGGCAAAGAACAGACTCCTCTTCCTTACTCCCCTCCCTTTACTGAAAACAAGCAAGCAGTAAAACAGATCAGCTTATAAGACAGCAGCACTGACAGAGAGGGAGCGTCCAAGCGCCCAGCTAACATTCAGATGCGAGCACACAAAGCAACACTCCCCAGCCAAGGTAACTGTATCTAAGCTTGCAGTGCCCTTCCAGCCTCTTACTGTCTACCTACACCAGCTTCCTACGTACCAGAAAGGGAATTACCAGTGGAAGCTGATGACTTACTTCCTGACTGGCTGGACCAGGATCTGCATTTCCTAGGTCACTTGCTCATCTTGCTGCTGTCTTGTACTGATGGGAGCATGAAACAGCAGTGACAGCCACACTGGGGAAACACTGAAGCTTTCCATTCAGCCTGCAGGGGGAATAAATCTAAGTGACAGAAGGTTACCTGAGTGGAAGGTAGCTTGGGTCCTCTTTTTTGCAATACCTTGTTTTCTAATTAACAGCATCATGCTGTGAATATTGAAATGCAGGTGAGGAAAGGTGAGTCCTGGTTGGAGGCTGATGTGTGAAGGATCATCCTGCTCCCATGGCAGCCCAACTACAGGTGGGGGGAGGATGTGATATACTATTTTATAGCTTTGTGAGACAGGCAGGGAGAGGTGCCAGTGAACCGGAACATCTATATTTGGAGCCTTCAAGCTCACTCTGTAAAATCCAAAGGCATGTTACTAATGGAGCCGGGCTCCGAGGACAACTGCTCGCCTGAACAGTCAAGGCTCGGGGGATATTGCTAGAGCACTAAGTGCCAGACTGTGAAGTTAGTCAGACAGCACAACAGCAATGGGAGATTGGACATTTTGGCCAAAGACATGTTGACAACCTCCTTTTCTTAGGAGACATGCTATAGAATCCCCAAGGGCAACAAAGTCAATGTGAAATGGGTGCAGACAAAACTTTGCTTTTTAAGGGTTCATCTAATACTCCCCATACAGCAAAACACATGGATCTCCATTTATGAAGGGTGGAGGGATGCTGCCAGAATTTCAACCCATTGCACTAAGTCCAACACGTGTGCCGGTATCTTAGATCACAGCACCTTAAACAGCCCTCTGACATTCCCCATGCCACTGCCCAGCCCCAGCTCTGCTTCCGCTAGTGAGTGCAGAGACTTGTTTAAAAAAGCCATGCAGATACTCACTAGAATGATGGAACAGTTTGCTGTTGGAAAAGGCAGTTTTGCTGAAATCACGGGACTGGGTTGATTTCAATAACATTCTTGATGGGAAATTTTTGAAGCAACGTTGAAACATTTCATTTTGATACGGCAAAAACATTTTGTTTAGATCGTTTCATTTCTACTTTTATACCATATTAAAATACTGAGTTTAATACACCTCTACCTCGATATAACACTGTCCTCGGGAGCAAAAAAATCGTTCCGCGTTATAGGTGAAACCGTGTTATATCGAACTTGCTTTGATCCGCCAGAGTGCGCAACCCCACCCCCCTGGAGCACTGCTTTACCGTGTTATATCAGAATTTGTGTTATATCGGGTCACATTATGTCAGGGTAGAAGTGTATTAAATTTCTACATAATATATATTATATTTAGTATTTCATATTGTAATATTTTGATGTTATCGAAACAAAAAGATTCAGAATATTCCTTGCATGGGAAATGATGAAATTCTCGCTTTTCGTTCCAACTCAGAATGATTTTCCACCCCCCTGCCTCCGAATGTTGGACTTCCCCTTGGAGACCAGCAGAGATTCTCAGGGTTCCGTGTCTCCTCTACTCAAATCACCTACCTACCTTCCAGCCTGTAGATCTGATCCTGGAAGGCTTCCTGAAAGTAGCAGGACATCCTTAGCACACATTCCAGTTTGCTCTGGGAGAGGTACAGCAAAGCCAGGCCGACTAGAATTCCAGGATGGGGACAATAGGATATTTCACATTTACCAGGATCACATTTCAGCAGGTCATCCTCAGTATCACCCATTGTAATAACTCCTGGCACCGCAAATTTCTGCTCTAGATTCAAACTTTCCCAGAGGACAGGGGTGTTTGGATCAATGCCTGTCTCCAATGGTCAATAACGGCCACACTTACATAGCATTGGAGACAGTGGATAATATATCCTCACTCTTGTGATGGAGGTAAATATCTGTATATTGCAAATAGGGAAACTGAGGCTCAGAAACTATGGCTTGCACCATTGCTGGCTCCCTGAATCGTGCTCAGGCTCCTCAACCACACAGCACTGAGCAGATTCCAGGCAGCTGTCACACTGGCAGTTTTTAAGAACAGTTTAGACAAACGCCTGTCAGGGATGGGTCTGTTTATTACTTAGTCCTGTCTTCAGTGCACGGGACTGGGCTACATGACCTACTGAGGTCCCTTCCAGTCCTGCACTTCTGTGATTAACACAGGGTGGTTTAAGGGTTTGCAGAGGGGCGTTTCCTGGGCACTAGACCCAGGAATAGGAAAAGTTTTCCAAAAGAATGACCATCACCTTTCACTTCCAATCCTCTCTCACACACACGCAAGATAGGATGAGGCCCAAGCTATACCCCAGTTGTGTGCGTTACAGAACTACCAGCACAAGTGGGAGCCCACACCTAGGAGGCCCTTCACCAGGAAAGGGCAGCATGACTCATGGTTAAAAGTGTATTGTGTGGTGGGAAACTCAACCAGCTCCTGCCTTTGCTGTGACTGGCTCAAGCCTCGCCTTCATGAGCCACCTCACTTTTTTTTATTGAAATAAAGAGTGAAGAAAGCAAGCAGCAGAGAGGACAAGGGGAGCATTTTCCCCTTCCCAACTCTATGCCCCTCCTCGCTACATCTTCAACAAATCCCCTCTGCGTTACCACCCTCAGACCCTGTTGGAATTGCTCTTTTTAGAACATTCAGTGAAAGACAAGAACCATACAACACAAATTTCACAGACTTAAGTGTCCTCGTAGGGCAAGAGAACTAAAGAGCCCCCGTCTCTCTCCAAACCACTTCTAAATAGCAGTCTGGAGACTGGCTGCTCTGGAGGGGAGACGTGAGAGAGGCCACACCCGCCTATTCACAGAGCTAGGACCAACCTTTGTCCCCACAAAGGGAGGTGACTAGGAGCTTGTTTCATCAGAAGAGGCCAGAAAAGAGGAAAGCTGTTTTTCTTGTTTGACTAACT